AAAAACCCCCCCAAACAACAACAACAAAAAACCACGCGCCAGCATTCTTGTAATTGTCTTCAATTTTTCAGAAACTTAGCTGGGGACTCTCGTGGCTACGGTGCTCGCCTCTCATTCAATAGGTCCAGGGTGCAAACCTGACAGCGACGGAAAAATGTTCTTCTCTTAAATGTTCTCCTTTCACTTGCTTTCCTTCTCTCTAAACATGTTTTGTCGTCTGCTTTTGTCTCCAGAATCTGCCCCCTCCCCCACCTTCTCTTTTGCCCCCCCCTCCTCTGGGCTCCTGACTCTTTCACAGCCTTTCTACTGCAACTCCTTGGCTCCTTTTTACTGCTGTCATTCAGCCACACTTCTGGTCTTATATGGTAGGTAAGATCTAACACCTAGCCTTCCCGGATAAGGGCGAAAAGACTCAGAGATCCCGTGTCCAAGTTGTGCACCTTAAAGATCCCTTTGCGGTCCAAAATGGATAAGAGTAGGCTTCGAATGCTGCCAGGACAATATTCTAAACTCCCATCAAACTGAAAATGTGTCTCTCCACCGCGCTCATATGACCTTATGCAGTTGCGAGCACTGTAAAATAATTACACACACACACACACACATACACACACACATACACACACACACACACACACACACACACACACACACACACACACACCTTTTCCATACCACGCAAACTGTAGCTCACACAAAACGACACAAAAGCACGTGCACAGCTTTACAAACCAGCATGCCTCTCCGTTTACTCCAACTGGCAAAAACATAAACATTAAAAATGTATCCGTAGATCTGCAAGGGGGAAACAGTGCCAGATCTGTGTCTGAATTTACCATACCAAGGTGAATGGTGAACCCAGATTGGGAAGCCGTTCATTTCCTGTGACCTTTCTGCCGGAATTGTAATCTGTACCTAGATTATAAAACATGTTTCAAGGACTAACTTAATGACCTTCTAGTTGCTAGTCATATAAACATTTTACTCGTACATTTTTAAGGCGCCCATCTACACAACTTAGATTTTTCAGGAGGCAGGCTATTTGACCCTGCCAACGAGGATCACCCTTGGCTGACCTTGGAGTAACTATAAATTACATGTATATACTTACTCCAAGAGGCTGACAGTGATACAATCATACACCCGCGGACAAAAGATGCTAAAAATTATACCCAAACAGGAATCGAACTCACATTTTCTGCGCGTGACGGTTAAGCTCTTAATCGCAACACCACAAACTCTGGTGTGAGAATTCTGCCTGAATTGAAACATGGGCTTAGATCATAAAGCATATGTTAAAGACACATATCAACGCCCTCTCTAGTCACGTAGGTATGATTTTGTTTTCAGTAGAAAGGGCTCTCAGCTTCTCTTAAAACGTCGGGGCTGATAGGGACAAGATGTGGGACGAAAAGGCGAACGTAAGAATTCAGAGACCCCACAGAAATTCGAATTTGAACTGCGTGATGACCATGTTTGTAATGAGCTGGATGACCATGTTTGTAATGAGCTGGATGATCATGTTTGTAATGAGATGGATGATCACGTTTGTAATGAGCTGGATGACCATGTTTGTAATGAGCTGGATGATCACGTTTGTAATGAGCTGGATGATCATGTTGTAATGAGCTGGATGATAATGTTGTAATGAGCTGGATGATCATGTTTGTAATGAGCTGGATGATCACGTTTGTAATGAGCTGGATGACCATGTTTGTAATGAGCTGGATGACCATGTTTGTAATGAGCTGGATGAAAACTGCGGACGATTTGAGGGTTTACATTGGGAGGGGGGGAAAAGAGATCTGTTGATAAATCAACAGGCTTGACCATTCATTCATTCATTCATCCATTCATTCATCCATTCATTCATTCATTCATTCATTCATTCATTCATTCATTCATTCATTCATTCATTCATTCATTCATGCTGACTGAATTAGTTGGCTAGCATAATAATATTATGATTCAGTTGGTCGATCAATCGGTCAGTCAGTCAGTCTGTTGTGTGGGTTAATTCGTTGTCAGGTTATTGTGCTCTTTTGGTCAAGCAGTCGATCTGTGCGGCAGTTGGTTGGTACATGACGTAGTTACGGAAGTTGACGTGTCCATATTTTGACGTACAAGAAAACAAACAGACCAGTAATTTCACACGCAGGCTGTTCAATTAGGCTATCTTCTCTCAGCGGGGGGGGGGGGGGGGTTGGATTTACCGGAGCCAAGATTCGTTACACACAGATAGTAGACGGTGAATTCTGCTTCTGGGCTAGGCAAACGCAGCGTACAAACGTCCGATAAATATTGAAGAAACGAGTCGCATATCCAATGCCAGTTGTCAGATCTTCTTCAGTTCCAATATTAATATGATGTATCTCAGAACTTGCGTGGTAGTGGGAAAGATTCATCTCGGAAGGCGAGTCCAGTGGGAAGATTTGTGGGGGTGAGAGGACGCATAGGGAGGATCAAGTTGTATTCCTTTCATGAGAAGTAGAACCTATTCTCCCAGAGCGAGCGGTACCCCGATAAGACATGGAAAGTGGTTTGGCATGTTGGATCTGTAAGTATCAAAGGTAGCCAATTGACACCACAAAGACCATTTGCTGCAAGGAAAAAGCAAGACAGACAGACAGACAGACAGACAGGAAAAGTTAAACATCCAGTACCGCCCTAACACTACCTGTCTCCGTGTAAGTAATGACGTTTAAGGGTTCATTAATGCCCCCTTTGAACATCCTTCTCCAGATAGATAAAATATTTCAAATTAGATTCCTCAAATAATTCAAACTCCACTCAGATTCGTAACTTGAACTTTCAGGTGACAGGTGAAGGACATTTTCCTAACCAACTGTGCTGGGACTGTCAGGTGATGTACTGTAACCTAAATTGAAAGAAAACTTTGATGAAAAATGCCTGCTTGAGATTAACGAGTAAAAAAATAAAATAAAAGCAGAAATAAAATATTTAACCGGCCCAAGAGAATATATTTCCGGACCTACCTGAACTAAACGCCCGTGCCTGCTTGCACATACGAGAAAGTAAAGAGCGGCTAAATGCCCACAGCGTGCGGTGGGAACCAGAGCAGATTCGTACTCACTCTGTCGATAAACAACGCTCGGCCCGACTCCTAAGGTAAATCTGAGTTAATGAACGCGAGCTAGTCGAAGCGGTCAGGGTGTCACGAAAAGGAGGCGCTTAGGCGAACTCAACGAGTTATGTGGAAAGGTATAAATATTTACACCTCTTCGCCTCCTCCGGCCAGATCGACGGCAAAGATTCCGTTTCCTCTCAACTTGTGTTGCAGCTAAACTGAAAGAGCGAAGGATGAAGTGTTTGCTGGCTTCATGAACTTATGAGAGTAACAGCCCTTGTGTCCATCCATTCATTCATCCATCCGTCCATCCGCGGGTTCCCACAAGCAGCCACCCTGTATTGGTACTTTGTTAGTCCATCTACCTACCTATCCTCCCAACTTCCTTATGCCACATGGCCGCCTCAGTACCTACGTATTGGTGTAGTTTCAGAAGAAGCCACTCGTGTCCATTCCTTCATTCTCCCGTCCGTCCGTGCGTCCGTGCGTCCGTGCGTTCATAGAACCAGATACCTTGTTCTTATACTTGTTTGTCCATGTACTTATCCATCCTTCTCGCTTATCACCCACCCGTCTTTTGTACATTTCATTTGTTTGTACATGTATCTACAAGTGTTGTACTCATTTGCCTACACATTGGCTATAACTGAAATATTTTGATTACTAAAAAATAACACATTTTCCTCGCAACGTCTTCGTTTGCCCCCTCCCCCCCCCTCCCCAAATCTTCTACATGGGGAAAGCTGATCTTTTCTTTCGAGTACGTCACAACGAGTAGAGAACTGTTCTCTACATGTCACCAGTAGCGACGTCTTCCCACGCCCACGCCCACAATCAACTAAACGACACATACGTTAATCAAAAACCCAATCTGCTTAACGGCCATTATTGTAAAAACATTCAGGGCACAGCTTGTGCAAATAGGCAATGTACACAAAGTTAGGAAAACAGCAATTATTCTCAACACAAACCGTCAATAGATAACAAAAACAATGATAAAATACACGTTCTGCCATTATTACGCACTCCCAAAACAGCCGTAGTACATTTCTTAAAAAGAACGTTCAAACATTAGACGTCTGCTTCGACAGGACAAGCCTTCCATAATCAAAGGAAATTAGCGATGTCTCGTG